AATGGGTTAAGATTTCATCAGCCCTCCACCTTCCCTCTCTGTTCCCTGAAGCATCGCTTGGTGCCAACGCCCACTTGCCCAAGGCTTCCAAGGTATTTGATTCTCCAAGACATAGCAAAGAGGTCTTCTCGTGATTTACTCTGGAGCTGTTAGAGACACAATCTGTTAGTTATCCTTCCAAGCCTGTTTACATTTTAAGACCAGCACCAAGGAGGAGAGCAATTCTTCACCGAAGGAGCTGATGATAATGTTGGCATTTCAGGCGTGGTGGCAGCTGAAGGCTCTTCTGGCGGAGCACCAGCCAGGGGTGGTCCAGCACCAGAATTCTGCTGAGAAGGCTGGTGGGTGAGAATGCTGAGAAGAGGGTTGAGCAGGCGAAGAGAGCGAAGAAGGGTCTTCACTGGCTCTGGGTGAGACAAGGCACTTGAATGAAGAGCTCGTGGCCCTCCTCATCTCCACCTTCCGTCCTTCCAGTTTGTCAGCCCTCCTTCCTCTCTGGCTACTTTTTCTCAGGCTCCAGTAGGAGTCCCCTTCCTTCTGCCTGTCCCGTCAGTGCTGCTGCTCCCTAGAGTTCCATCCTGTCCCCCTTTTCTTCTCCAGCTGCACGCACACTGGGCGGTCAGCACCCCCCCACCCCCCATGGCTGCCACCACACGCAGGTCCTCACAGATGCTGGCCCAGCTCGCTGGGAGCTCAGGTGCCGCCTGTCCCAAAGTTGACAGAATTCAGGGCAGTGGGAGGCGTCTCTGGGCAGGCATGTACTCCCTGGTCATCACACGTGAAAGCTAGTGTCCCCAGTTCAGTCATGAGCTCGTGATGACAAGGGTCTTGGCTTTTACGTCTGTGATTTGCCTTGTGCAGGGACCATCAGATGCTGGTTGAATTGGCCTCTGTAGGCATACCACCCCCCCCGACCCCAGCTCCACTGTAGGGACGTGAAGGATGGAGTCCTGCACCTTTCTATGCAGGAACCTGTTTTTACTGCCACAGCCGCCTCCACACATCCACAGTTCCTAGGAACCCTCTGCCCACCAACTCTGGTAGACTTTCTCAGTTTCCTTCTCCTCACTCCCTTTGCAGGATCCGGCACTGGTTGGTGCTTCTGCCATCTTGAAACTATCCTTCCTTGACCTCCAGACCATCATACCCTCTCCACAGCCTGCTCTCCAATGAGCTGTTTTCTTTTGCTTCCAAATGTAGTTCTCCCCTAAGGCTCCCTCCTCTGGAGCAGTGCGAGGGAGGGGAAAGAGTGCAGGCTTGGGAGCCAGACTGACTATGGGATTCTGGGCTGTATCATTTATCAGTTGGGTGACCTCTCGGAGCCTCAGTTTTCTCAACTGTAAAATGCAGAGGAATCATGAGGTTTGAAGGTACGGTCGGTGAAGGGTCGGCACGAAGTCCCAGCTAAATGCAGGGCAGTTGTGGGTGTTCATGTGTGGCTCTGCCAAGCATTGCACAAGCCCACGTCGGCTCACCGCTCACCTCTGGGCTGGGCAGTGCCTGCAGCCTCTCTCCGTCCCTGAATTCTCTCCCACATCTGGGCCTTGACTCCACGTATCTGCTGAGCAGCCCCACTTCTGACGTCATGCCACGACCCCTCGTAACAGCCTGCCTAAGCCCACCTCGCTATTCTTCTCTGTCCAAAGCTTTTCCTGCCAGGATTCTCCCTATTCGATCATCCATGCTGCTACTTCCCAGACCCTTGGGCTGGAAAAGTTTGGGGGTGTCTTTAACCAGCCATCTCTTTCGGCTTTCACATTTGGAAGTAACGGTGGTGATTAGGGGAGTGACTTCATGTGAGTTTCTGCCTTCATCGCAGCCGGGTTTTGAAGTGGGTTATTATAGAAATGAGGCCTGGAGAGGCACTAAGCTGCCTGAGGAGGGAGTGAAGAGCAGAGAAGGGCTCTGACTCAGAGCCTGGGCTCATCCCGATTCTTGGAGATTCCCTCCACGGGATGACTGGGTGCCAGGCTGGCCCCACAGACCCCTAACTCACAGTGCTGAGATCTCTCCATCTTGAAAAGAAACCAAAGTGTCCTCCCTAGTGTCTTCTCCTGCCTCCCCCTTGCACTCACCTACCAGCCTGCCCTATGCTCTTCTCTTTGGTTCCTTAATTACTGCAAGCTAGCTTCCGCCTCCGTGGAATGGCCGTCACCAAGGTCACTCAGTCCCCAGGACACCCTATGGCCCTCTCCTTACTGGAGCCCTGTTTAATCCCATCACAGCCCCTCTTCCCCTTAGCTTTCCTCCTGGATTTCCTTCCACCTCTCCAGCCATCCTGCCCAGTGCCCTTGGCTCAGACCATCACTCGGTTGCTGGGAATCCCCAGGTTTGGGTTCTAGGCATCTT